AGTGGATTGCCTGAGCTCGCGGTTTGAGACCCACCCGGGCAGGCGAGACTTCATCTCTACAATAAATCAAAAAATTAGCCAGGCGTGGTAGCACATGCCTGTAATCCCGGCTACTCGGAAGGCTGAGGCAGAAGGATCGCTGGAGCCCAGCAGGTCGAGGCTGTGGTGGCCGGGAGTGGCCACTGCACTTCAGTCTGGGCGACAGAGTGAGACTCCAACTCAAAAAAGAAAGAAAGAAAGAAAGAAAGACATGGAGGCCAGGTTCAGTGGCTCAGCCTGTAATCCCAGCAATTTGGGAGGCCAAGGCGAGTGGATTACCTGAGCCCGTGGGTTCGAGACCCACCCAGGCAACTTGGCGAGACCTCATCTCTGCAATAAATCAAAATCAAAAATTAGCCGGGCATGGTTATGCATGCCTGTAGTTTCAGCTCCTTGGAAGGCTGAGGCAGAAGGATCGCCAGAGCCCAACAGATCAAGGCTGCAGTGGCTGTGAGCATGCCATGGCACTCCAGCCTGGGTGACAGAGTGAGACTCCAACTCAAAAAAAAAAAGACATGGCTCATGGTTGTGCCAGCTTAGTGAGACAGAGACTTTCTAATTACCCAAGTAGTCCCAAAAACTCAGCATATAGGTTTATTTCTCCCTTTTGTAGTGCTGCTCTGGATCCTTTAAGTGTTAAGGTCCCAATTAAGGAATAATTTCACTCTGTTAGATTTTACTTGTGTAGGTTGGATAAGAAGATGGGAAAGTCAAGGCACTTATAGACCTTTTTTCATTCCAAGAAAAGAAGATATTTTGAAGATATGTGTTGAATGCCTGTAACATAATAGAAAACATTTGTATTAAAAATAAATTATATTTACTCGTCCCTGGATAAGTACCAGACATTGTTCATATGATGTTCTTTAAATAAATCATCTCTTTTGCCCTTTCAACAACCCAGTGGGATAAGTACTTTAGCATCCCTGTTTTATAGATGAGAACCTGGGACACAAACATTTTAACTCAATAGAAGACTCATAGTTAATAAATGGTGATGCCAGGATTTAAACCCAGGCCATCGGCTCCAGAGCCTCAGTCTTTAGCTCTCATAAGAACTTTGTGAACATGGGCAAATTGCTCAGTCTCTCTTATCTATAAAATTGGAAGAAGAAGAAGAATAGTGCTAGTTTTACAGGTTGTCATGCATGCGCACATTGCATAGCATTGACTCACAGATGTTTCCCTAGCATTGCAGAATGACGGCAGAGGTGGGGACAACTGCGTCCTATGCCACGGTTGCCCTTGGGATCAGCACTTTCTGCTCTAAGAGTGGTCAGCATGAGATAAGTGATCAATAAATAATAGCTACTGGCTTTGTAAAGTTGTCATTTTTATTTAATCTGTATCCTGAAACCGAAATTGTGTTTTCTTGAAATCAGCAAGAAACATATATTGCCTTGTGCTTGAGAATAAAATTTGTTTTTGTTCACCATCTTGTCATTGCTTTTGGGGTTAAGAGTAGACTGTAGTTGTCTCACTATTGCCAATTTTGAAGAATGTGCTATAGTAATAAAGAGAAAGAAATTCAGAGGTATTCTAAACCAGATTCTGATACTCATTTGCTTTGATTTAGTATTTTTGTGAATCAGACACTGAGAATGTAATCTTACTTCAGATATACTTCATATTTCCTAAATGACTTTGGAGAGGACTCTGTGTTTGAAGCACATTCCCTAAGAAGTTATGAATTTAGCATTTCTTGACCCAAAAGGATGACTCCAGTTTTTGCTTGGCACTTTGTGCATATCTGTATAAATCTACACCAATGTTGGTGTATTAGCCATGGTTCTCCAGAGAAACAACCATACGTACATATATGTTCTAGTGGATATCTCTATAAGACAGAGGGAGGGGGGTTTATATTAAGGAATTTAAGAATTTATTTTAAGGAATTTATATAGTTGTTGGGACTGGCAAGGGCAAAATCTGTAAGGTAGTTCAGCAGACTGGAAACTTGGGCAGAAATGGTATGTTTCAGTCTTGAAGCTGAATTCCCTCTTCTCCAGGAAACCTCAGTTTTTGTAATTATGGCCAATAACTGATTGGATGAGGTACACCATAATATGGTGAGTAATCTCCTTTGCTTAAAAGTTATCTGCTTGTTCATATTAATCTCATCACAAAATACCTTCACAACAACATTTAGTCTAGTGTTTGATCAAACAAGTGGGCACCATAACCTCATCAAGATAACACATAAAATGAACCATCACATTTGGTTTCTGCCATTTTATGTGAAAATGTCCATTGCTAGCATCCATCAGTTTCCTAGCTCATGTCAGCTCTAGTTGATTGCTGGTGTTCTGATGACTCTTCCAGGAGCTTAGAAACTTCTCTTATTCCTCCCTAAAGTATTTTAGGAGCAGTTCAACTAGCTGACTGAGTAAAAAAGGATGAGGAAGTTTCGAAAGGAGAAAAAAGCCTTCACTAAGCAACTTACAACTATGAACTCTTTTTTTTTTTTAAGGATCTACAGTGAATCTGACCAAGGACAGTTTCCATTTTGAGAGGCTTATAGTGTGGTTCAGTGAGGCTAACAGAAATGTAAATGAGTGCAATAAAGTATGACAGTGCATGTGCAGCAAACAGTGGGGTGACAGAGGAACAGTGAAGAGCTACATTTGAGTGGAAGTTAGGCGTTAGGAATGATTCATCTCTGAGGTTTAGGCTTGAAAGAAGAGTGTTAGTTTGACCAACAGCCTTGACCCAAGGTTTTGGAAATGTAGATAGTGAACAGAAAATAACATGAACAAACTGTCAGCTCTGCCATATGCAGAAAGCAACTGAGAATCCTACATTGCTCTCTCTGGAGGGGCAGAGCTATCTTTCATTTAAATCTTGGGCTTGGGAAGTGTTCCTTCACTGAGCTCATGGCATAGGGGCCAGGAACACTTGAACAAACTCTGAGCTCTGCCTACAAGAGAGAAGCAGAGTCGGATTGAGGGCAACCAATACTCTCTGCTATACATCCCATTCTTCCCAGCTGCATAGCCATTCTTCCAAGGCCATGTCTTAGTCACATGTTTGGATCCATGGCCCACCCACAACTACCAACAATTATCAGGGGAAATTGTTTCTCTCCCAGATATGCAGACCTCTTTGGGAAGATTAGGAACTACTATTCTACAGTTTTCTGTGTTCCAGGGTTCTTTCTTCTTGGAAGTGCCTCATTGCTCAAGGCAAGGTCCCAAATCCTGCAGATGCACACTGGGTCTCATATGGTATTTATAACTGGGATGAGATGTTCTTTCCCTATTGTTGCATCTTTGTGGGAGTCCTTGGGTTGGTTAAGGGTAAATTCACACTAGTGCAAGGCTCTCCCTTGTATGTTGAAACCACGGTTTGCAAACTGTCTCTGGAGAAGTCAGGGAAGAGTAGTGAGATGTGATACCAGAAAAGGAAAGGCAAAGGCTGTCCAACAGCTTGACCACATTGTTGAGGAGGGATGACAGGCTCAGGATTGTGAGACTTGTCAAGGCCAGGGAGAGAGGTAAGGGCCAGGTTATGGGGTCTGCATTTTATCCCATCAGAGGTAAAGATGATCCTTGAAATAGTTTTAAATCGGAGAACAATATGGAAGCTCTCTTAAAAGAGGTTTAGTGTTTGAAACAGCCACACAGTATGGCTCTCTTTAGCCCAGATAGAAGGGGAATTTGGGTTAGGAAATCTCTGAGACAGGTGAATTTCAGTATAGCCTATGGGGTTTTTACCATTTCAGTCTGAAGTCATCAAGCAGCCTTTAAACGGACAGAAACAGGGCTTGGTGGAATCTATGAGATAGTTACTTTAATTTTTAAAAATTTTTTTTGAATTGGAGTCTCACTCTGTCGCCCAGACTGGAGTGCAGTGGCCACTCCTGGCCACTGCAGCCTCGACCTGCTGGGTTTCGGTGATCATTCTGCCTCAGCCTTCCAAGTAGCTGGAACTACAGGCGCGTGCTACCATGTCTGACTAATTTTTTTTATTTCATTGTAGAGATGAGGTCTCGCCAAGTTGCCCAGGCGGGTCTCGAACCTGCGGGCTCAGGCAATTCACTCACCTCGGCCTCCCAAAGCACGAGATTACAGGCTGAGCCACTGAGCCCCGCCTCAAAGTTACTTTAAAATGAGTACAGCTGAAATGTGGATTCAGAGTGATCAGAAGATGAGAACTAGGAAAGAAATTTCTGAGACCTTTAGCTGAGCCCAGGTTCACTTTTCTGTTGATGACCATTGTTTTCTTTTCTAATTTGTTAAAAATAGCATAGTATTGTCAGTTTATTTTTGTTTCATTCCCTTGTGTTTATGATCCAAGATCATTTGGGAGATCCTTATAGATAGTGCCCATATTCCTGCTTCCTTTGTACCCCAGCACACCTAGCACCCAGCTGGACATTTAATAGTCACTCAATACATGTGTATTGATGGATGTGTCTTTAAAAATCCAACCACTTACTCAAATCTTTCTTGTTTTTGACCAGTGTTAGAGGTGGCATGTGGTAGCAAAGAACTAGAAAGTGAAGTCTGAGGTGCTCATCCTATCTAGTGGCAGATACTGCTTTTAGGATGCTGGTTAGTGCCAGTCCAAAGTGTCATTTTCCTTTAAACACGCTCTGATGGTTTCTGCTAGTTAACTGCAAAGAGAAACTTTAAGTCAGTGAGTAGCTTGTCCTCCGGTGGTTCAAGACAATCAATGGTTTTGGTGGTTCAGGACAATCAATGGTTTTTACACTGGGTATCGACAGCTCTCTGCTGCATTCCCTTGTCTTTGCTACATGGGTTGACAGTTGTAAAATGGATTATACTGCTTATATTGCCTCTTGGGGTTTAATCAGGGCCCAGCAAGTACTGTGTGCGGTGTGTCTGTGACTTTCCTTTTGTCTTTTAATTGTTCAGGGTGTGGGATTACTGATGGTGCTGCTTTTGTTACTCATACCTTGACTGATCAGTTTTTACATCAGAGCTTATGCTTCTTTGCAGGATGCCACAATTTGGAAGCCCGATTCATGCCAGAACTGCCGTTGCCATGGTGATATTGTTATCTGCAAACCTGCTGTTTGCAGAAACCCTCAGTGTGCCTTTGAGAAGGTATGGTATCCTCACTGTATCCTAAATGTGTTGAAAGTCAGTGAAGGGTTGGGTTTTTGCATTGTTTCAGCCAACTGTTTTTGAAATTTATCCCAAAGCCCAATTGGAAATTTTATGAAATGTGAAAGAAAATTTTAATATATTGTATCTTAAGAATATCCTAATTTCCATTTATTGAGCATGTACTCTGGACAAGACACTCAATTAAAGATTTTACACATGTTATCTTAGTAATATTGTGTGGGGTAGATTAGATATCTTTATTCCTACTTTACAGTTGAGGAAAGTGAGGCCTAGAAATTTTAGGCATCCTAACCATGATTATGCAATTAGTAAACTGCTACCTAGAGATTTTGACATGCCAAAGTTACTGACACTAACCATAACACTTATGAACCATTGAATGGATTGAAAGTCAGAACTGACTTCTTGAAAAAGATTTTCTGAAAACAGCATTTGGGTCTGCCACTGATTGTGTTATTGCGCTGCCATTGGACTCCCAAGAAACACAGGCGAGCTTTGACTCAAGAAATCTCCTTGTATTTGATAAAGACTATGATTGGTATTTTCTCCTCTCCCCTCTGTTAAAAATTTTCAGTTTTTTCTGACTACACATCTATTCTGTTAGAATAATATTTTTTTCTAGGTATTGACTCTTTTCTTTTTAAAGCGAATCTATTAATTCAAAAAAAAGGCTTAAGCTTTAAGTTTGAACTTTTGAAACTCCCTAGACAAGACCAATTATTTTCTTTAAAAAGCATTCTGTCAATTTCAAAAGCACAGTTTCTTTTGCTCGTTTTCAGCCCTCAGGTTCAGTAATTAATCTTGAGCCTTTAAGCCATCTCATGCTAATATGGCTCTGTTTATGTACCTAAGCATTGGAGTGAAGATATACCTTTAAGGATATTCCTCCATTTCTGCTTGAGTATATTCCTGAGAAGCTGAAAGTACATTAAATGTTGATAAATATGATAATATTTTGTTGTATATTATGGTACCTTCTATATTATAGAGTAAATACTCCTTAAAAAAAAAAATCACTGTTTGGCTTGCTAAGTAACTCATGTCAGAATCTGAACTAGTGGTGTAAAGGCTGTGAAAATTTCCCTCCCCACTTCTCATGAATAATTGTAATACCATGGAAGAAGCACAGAATTAAATATTGGAAGACATAAATTGTACTGCTGAAAACTAAACATGTTCTCTATCAGGGGTCAGCAGACTAAATCTGGTCCTCTATTTGTTTTTGTGACTCCTATGAACTGAGAATGGTTTTTACGTTTTTTAAAAGATTAAAAAAATTGAGAACATTATTTTATGATGTGAAAACATGTTGAGATGAAATCAAACTTCAGCATTGGCAAATAAAGTTTTATTGGCACACAGCCTTGCTCATTTGTTTATGTATGTTCCTTGGCTGCTTTTAAACTCCATCAATCTCATTGTGGTGTAGACCATATGTGGCTCTTAAAGGCTAAATACTTATCATCTGGTTCTTTACAGAATAGGTTTCTCGTCCTTGTTCTATTCTAGACTTGTGATTTTGTCCATTCCTAAGTTGTTCTCCTAATTTTTCTCGTATTAGTAAATGGCAACCCCATTCTCCTGGTTGTTCTGGCTAGAAACTGAGTCATCTCTGACTCCCCACTGCCTCTCACATTCTACATCCAGGGGCACTCTGAAACCCCCCAGCTCCTCCTCATGAAACAGTAAATTCCAAATGTGACTTCTCTGCTTTGTCTGGTTCCATTTTTGCCTAGATTCTTATATACCCTCCTAATTGTTTTCCCTGTTTCTGTACTTGCTTTTTCACTGTAATCTTGACACTGCAGCCAGGGTGACTCTAGTGAAATTGTAGTCAGATGATGTTACTTCTCTGTTCAGACCCCTCCAGTGGCTTCCCATGACTTATTTCACTTAAAGCAAATCCTCACCCTGCCCTTTAAGGTACTACTGTGCCCTTCTAATTAATCTTTCATTCTCTTTCCCTTGCTCACCATGCTTTAGCAGCGAGCCTCCTTGCTGTTCCTCAAATATATATATGTGTATCTGAGAAAGAGCAATTTCAGTGGAAACAGCAAAGTACAAAGATTCTATGGCAGACGTGTGTCTGGTATGTGTATATATGTGTACACATACATGCACATACACACATGCCCCTCTACACACACATGCATGACTTGATCCTTCCTTTATGTCTTGCCTGCATGACATTCTGTTTAACATTGCAAATCTCTAACCTTTACCACACATTTTGTATCCTCTTCCATGCATTATTTTTCTTCTTGACATTAACTACTATCTGACATACTATATATTTTACTGATATTTCTTGTTTACTGTCTTTTTTATTCATGGTATATCCCCAACACCTACAATAGCATCTGACACATGGTCGACACTCAATACATTTTTTTTTACTGACTGAATGAGAGATGAGGCTAGAGAGTTGGCAAGTTCAAGGTTATGCAGAGCTGTATGCTGTAGTATGAAGCTTGGAATTTTTAAGATGATAGAATACTAATAAAGTTTTCAGGCATAAGGGTAGAATGGCCAGATTTTTGAAAAGAAAGATCTGCTGGTATTTAAAAGATAATGCATAATATTAGAAATGAAGAGATCAGTTCAGAGACTGAGAGAATAATCCAGATGAAAGGATAAATACCAGAATTAGAGGTCTGGTAGTGTAGGGATCAAGCGGAAAAGGCAGGTTCGATAACTAGAGGATAAATCAACAGAACTTGGTGAAAGCAGGAGGACGAGGAAAAGGAAAAGAAGAAATAACTCCTGTATTTATGACCTGCTGACCAGTTGGTTAGCTGAGTCCCCAACTAATATTGAGAATATGGGAGAATGAGGAAAAGAAGTCCATCTGATATAGTTTAGGATCTGTTGAATTTGAAGTGTCCAGAGAAGAGGCAGATGGATATGCCAGAAAGGCAGTGGGATATTCTTATCCAAAGCCCAGAGCAGAGGGCAGGACTGGAGATATGGCAGGGTGTCATCAGCATATAGACAGTAGTGCAAATATGTAGAATTAATGAGCTTATCTAAAGAAATGAGAAAGGGTACAAGACCAAGGATGGAAATCGGGGAGTACAGTCATGTAAGGGGAAGTAAACATAAGAGAAAGAGCTTAAGAAGATGAAGAAGATATGGTCAGAGAGGTAAAAAAGAATAAATGGTCAATGAAGAGAACAATGCTATGGTCACCAGGAGAGCAGAAAATTTCCAGAAAACATTTGTCTTGACAGTGTTGATCACAGTTAAGGGAATAAATGGGAGAAGAATTTAACATGATCCATTGTATTTGGCAACATGTGGGCCACGGTGGACACACTGAGGTTGGTGTCAGTGGAATGGTAGGAGTGGAAAGGAGTGGTACTTCAAAGGTAGGAGTGAATGAATAGTGGGGGAAGGAAGACTGAGTCAAGGCCATTCTCTCAAGGGCTTGACTGGGAGTGAAGGAGAGAAGTGGGGCCTTAATAGGCAACACTCTACCGTGAAGTCTCTTTGAACTGCCCATTCCCAACTAGCGAGTCCTCCTGTGTCCTGTCATGATGCTCTGTACTTACCCTTCTTATACTCCTCGACCAGACTGCAGTGCTTGTTTAATCGTCCGCTTCTTCCTCTTCTTCAGCTTCTTAAGATTCCTCCTTAAGAAATGGAATCTTATCTTCCTCACTATTGCAGCCCATCAAACAGCATAATGTAAGGCACCCAGAAGTCTCTCAGTCAATATTTGTGGAATGACCACACAAGGGAAGGGAGAGAGTTTAGTTTTGTTTTAGTTTTAAGCTTTTGATATGAGCATGAAAGAGATATGATCCCCTTGAAAGGGAAAGGGGAATGACCTAGACTACAAAGAGAAGTTGAAGAAATGGAGATGGGGGTGTGGAGAAACAGGAAATTAATCTCAAGGAGAAGAACACAGAGTATTGGGAAAACAGAGGAGTGTGGTTGGGGATGGGGAGTGGGGGACATCCTTATTGTTTAGGACAGGAAGGAAGGAACCACAAATGGGTACAGATATATTCAAATATGTGGGTAAGAAGATGAACAGGATACTGAGGTAGTTCATACCTAAGGAGCTTACTCTTTAAAGACTTTGAGGTTTACTTGGCAGTTATAAAAGAGTAGTGAATCTTAGGAGCTGTTACTGAGGGAGAAAAGTACCTTTACCAAGGTCAACATAAAGCATTTGTGGGGAGTTTTAAGGGTCTACAGGAGCAGGAGACCATGAACCTGAAGGGGTACCAAGCTGTATGGCAAATGATTTTCTCAGTAATGCTTGCCAGTCAAGTATGAAAGGGACTAAGGCAAATTGCAGAGTAGATCCAGGATTGGGATTTTTTCACGTTAATGAAGAGAAAGAATAGAGATGCAGGAAGTGATGGGCATTGAGGCTAACATAAGTGGGAAAATGAGGCCAGCTGGGGGTCTTGAATAACTGCAAAGAAAAGAAGTGCTCATGGTTCTCCCTGGAGGGAGAGTGGGAATGTGGGTGAGAGGGATCCAAGGAATAGGAGACTTATGTTCAGAAGGCTGAAGATTTTTGGTATCCAGCAGTTTAGAGTGCACAGTTCTCAAGGTTGGTCATGGCCATGTGAAGTAGAGATGAGGATTGTTTGAATTGAGGTAGTCAAGAGTATACAAGGGTAGAGTGACATTTTCATGGACATTGAATATAAACCTTAATGCAGACAGTAGTATTTACCTAATAAAGTTGTTGTGAGAATTGAACTATCTGTATATGTATGTGTATATGTTAGATATAAACATATACATACTGTATATGCTTAGAAGAGTACCTGATTATTATAGGCACTCAGTAAGTGTTAGCTATAATAATCAAAATATCATCACTATTACTGTGAGCAGTTCTTCTAGGTGCTAAACAAGTAAACTTGCTCCCTGGCAGTCTTCACTGATGCTTCCTGCCCCTATAGCCACTTTCCAGTTCTTCCCACGACAAAACCTCGAGGAGTAGTAGGCCTATGTGTTCCATTGCAGCTTGCAGCTCACCAAGCTGCTCAGGATTGCGTGGTTAGGTGGCAAGAACTCCATGTGTCTTATTCTTCAGGGTCTTTGTTCTTCCTTTAACTTACCACTTTCATGTCCCACCAGAAGTTCCATAGATAGACTCAAGTTGGGGACCATTTTCTTTCTTCCTCCCACTGTCACTCACACACATAAAAGTTATAGTTTTTTAAATTTTGTGTATTTAAAATGAGCTTTAAGGGCTAAATCTGAAAATTAGCTTTTATAGAAAACAAAGAAAACTAATTTGGAAGCACACAATATCCCTTGAAGTCTTCCATTCTACCTGCCTGTCTCTCTTGCTCTCTGCTTCCATGTTAAAATATAAACAACACTTAGATCATCTTATTTTCTAATTGTATGACATTCTTAATGGAAATCGGGCTACTGCAGTTTCTGTTACTATCTTAGTGACTATCAGACAAGTACAGTTTTATCTTGGGCTTCAGAGGACACCTTTCTGAAAAGTTATTAATGTTGCATAGTATGTATAATTTTTAAAAGTCTATCATTTAAGTTCTGTCATTTATCAAACAAATAGGAATTTGGTGGTCACTGTTATTGATGTATTTATCTGTTTAGTGGATTAACAGTTAAGTTTTAATCCTATTTCCCATTCACTCTTGTGGATATAATTATATGACATTAGAATTCTCTTATAAGTAAATTTTTAATAAAATGGAAACAATAAAAATAACAAAGGAAACACGAACATATGCTTAAATACACACACATCATTTTTTAAAATTCTACTGATTGGATCCTTTGTAGACTTTTTTCTGTGGACAAGTCATGATTTCTTAGCTAATGCAGTATCACCTACCATTTTTGGTCAAAGTCACTCATTGCCTGTTCTGTCACGTATTTAGACTTGAGAAAACCATAAGTAGAGGAACAACATGAGTAAGAGATCTAATAGGAGAATCACTGGGCCCCAAAGGTAAACTTATGCTCTTTGATCCATATTTTTATAACTCTTAGGTAAAACAGATTATTCACAATGACATGTAGATGGTTAGTTAACATGCGACACCTCCCCAATAAATCTTGAGCTATCAGGTGTTGGCCCAGTCTCTTGATAGTATCAAGAAACACAGCTGTGATTATAGAAGCCTTGAAAAACAATGTCAGTCTTTATTGGAGCCCAGGAATTCTACCCAGCTCACCACAATGTGTGAATGTGATACCTCCTCCTGAGAAATGCTGCTTCCTCCCATGTTCCTCACTTCTCTGCTTTCTAGACAAAAGTTAAGCATCAGAGCTTCATCTGCCTTCTGCTGGGTGATTTAGGCCTCTCCGAAGGTAGCTGGAAGTCCTGCTAGCTTGGTGGCCACCCCCCACCTCCTGAGCCTTCTTCCTCTTCCCAACAGGGGGAAATTTGGAACATATCTAGTGGAAAAAAAAGTTCTAACTTCATTACACGTGGAAAGATGTAGATATGTTTTTTCCAGAAAATTACTTTCACAAGGGAGTTCATTTTATCTCTGAGAGAAGCTCAGCTTGACACAGAGGACCCTGGTGGTTAATTTGCTCATTTTATCCTTTCTTTGTTGTCACCCTGGAAACTCATGAGATTAGTGATTCTCAGGTGACTTGGGTCTGATGAACCATCGTGACTCTGTTTGCTTTTAAATCTTAGGGAGAGGTGCTTCAAATAGCCGCCAACCAATGCTGCCCTGAGTGCGTGTCAAGGACTCCTGGATCTTGCCACCATGAAAAGAAAATCCATGAGGTGAGTGTTTTCTGACCCAAGGTTGATGCTGGTGTCTCTGGATCATTGACAAGGGGAAGGCTGAATGTTGAACTCATGTTGATGAGAGAAGTTTTCCTTTGCCTGGGCTGTGGAGGACCTGAAACTCAGGAGACTTTCTTTGAGTTTTTAAGTTTCTTGAATAAAATTTAAACTGTCTTATTTATTCTGTAGACCCTGCGTAAATATTTGTAGATTGAATTTGTGTCTGAGAATGTTGATGTTACTATCAAGGAAGTTGTGATGCTGAATAATAAAAGTATACATTTATATACTACATACATTTTATTTGATAGTTATAAACAACCCTGAGCTGGTGAGTAGAGAATATGTTGTTACTCTCATGTTAAAGATTAAAAAGTTGAATTGCAAAGAGCATAAGGCATGAGCCCAATGTCATATCACTAATATGTGCTGTGACCTGACCAAGAACCCTGGTCTTATGACTCCTAATTCAGGGCTATTTCCATTAGAGTAGAATTTCTCAACTTCAGTTCCAGTGACGTGTTAAGCTTTGTTGTGGGATTGTCCTATACATTGTAGGGCATTTAGCAGCAGCCCTGGCCTCTACCTACTAGATGTTAATGGCATCCCTCAGGCATGACAACCAGAAATGTCTGCAGGCATGGCCACAATTCCCTTGGGGGCAAAATGCTCACCTTTTCCTGGTTTAGAACTACAGTACTAGAAGTTGGGCTCAATGGCTCAGCCTGTAATCCCGCGCTTTGGGAGGCTGAAGTGAGTGGATTGCCTAAGCCCAGGTGTTCAAGACCCACTTGGGCAACTTGGCAAGACCTCATCTCTACAGTAAATCAAAAATTAGCCAGGCGTCGTAGCGCGCGCTTGTAGTTCCGGCTACTTGGAAGGTTGAGGTGGAAGGATTGCCGGAGCCCAGCAGGTCAAGGCTGTGGTGGTTGGGAGCGGCCACTGCACTCCAGTCTGAGCGACGGAGTGAGACTCCAACTCAAAAAAAAAAAGAACTACAGTACTAGAAATGTATCCTGAAGTTTTTAAAAATTATACTTTCTCATTCCATATCTCTCAGGATTAATTTAAAGATATTAAATACTGATTTAAGAGTACCATTGTAAGGTTATTATATAAAGTATGCAGGTGGACAGTTCATCTCTACTCATATCTAAATGTCACCTGAGGTAGCAGATGAAATTGAATGTGATGGGAAGAGACTTTGCTTTAAGCCTCATCTTCCACCTGATACGAAACTTTCCCCAAGTTAGTGTCTCTACTCATTCAGGAGAGAGCATAGGTTAGCAGGATTTGATACATTCACTCTTGGCTGCTATTCACTGTATTTACCTAAAACTCAGAGAGTACAGTGCTCATTTCCTGTGGGGCAGGATTATTTTACTCTAGCCACTGTCTCCTAATGACAGAGGAAGCTACTCTTTCATTTCTGCACAATGAATTACTGAAAGACGCCCAATCAGGATCTGCGCTGGGAATGTCTTCATATGGTGTGTCTCCTTGTGCTGTCAATTCCACCTGTGTAATGGAGGGTGGTGTCACAGAAGATTCCTGTGATATGGAAAGTGCTGCTGGACAAATTGGTGACAAGTAATGCCAATTCATAATGACTGGAAGAGGTGCATGACTCAGGGTAAAAAACACAAAGTTGCATCTTTCAAGAGAAGGAACTGTTGGGAACCAAAATAATGTCAGGATCTGGAGGAAAACAAACAAAAATGCATCTCACATAAAATGTGCATGCGAGAAACATGGGAACTCAGAATTCAATAGATCTTCTCACACTAATGACACCATATGCTCTCATGTTATATTTGTACACATATGTGTGATCTTTTGTGTGTGTGATTTTAGATGCCTGAGAACATTGACTTTATTTTATACATCTTAATACGTATCTGAATATCTTCTCTGACACTCACCTACCAGGAACTTAGCATGGGACTTTTTTCAGAGTAGATGCTTAATAAACATTGATGAATGAAAGATTCAAACAGTTAATAAACTTCTCCTTGTCCTTATCCCAAGGGCAAGTTTGTCATTAACCTTTTGTGACCGGGTAGTTCTAGGACCACAGATCTGCTGTAGGTTAGTTAGAAATTTCCTTGCCTTCCTGCTTTTGTTAGGAGAGTTCATAAACTTATCTTCTGGTCCTTCTCCCACCTCCAGTTCATTCCTTCTGCTTTAATATGTCATGCAGAAAGTGCTAAACTGAGTAAGAACATGCCTATGTGTTGTTTTTCCATATGCAACTTTTGAAATTTACTCCTACAGAAAATTTTATGTTTCTGGTACTTGATGTCATGGAAAAAGGCTAAATGTCAAGAACTATAGTTTCTTTTTTTTAATCTCTAGTGGTTGACTTCTTCAAAAAGATGAAACTAGAAGATGTTCTGTTTTTTAAAAGTGAGACAAAGTCTTCCAATTTTAATCTCAATAAAGTTACGATTATTATGTTTCTTGTCTTCCTGTCCTTCCTTTTTCCTTTCTTCATTTCCCTACATTCTTGCCAACGCTTTTTAGTATTATTCATTTTCTTGGGTGGATTAAATGCTTGTCTGGTCTGGTCTGAGTCTCACCTCATCACTTGTGTCACCAGGGTTGTTTTATTTCTGAATCTGGTAGCCTTTTCTTTTTTTGCCCTTTTAACTTGTTTGGGAAACGGTTTCCAGAGCACTTTCCTCTCCCACTGAACAGCAGTAATCCTCTCTCTTAGCCTCTGGTTTGCATCTCATAGAGCAGGTGATGGGCACTCCTGGTGGTTGTAAAATAGCCTGGAGTTTTAAGGACTTTGAAATGATGATCTGAAGGAGAAGCTTTCCCCTGAGAGAGATTTAAAGGAGGCTTTAGAATAAAGTGGATGTGGCAGGAGGGGAATTAGTTGAAGAAATGCTGTCCCCAAAGAACATGGTTCATCCAAAGGAAAGTCAAGGATGGGTTGAGCTAAGGGTTGCATGAGAAAGCAACAACAGTGAAGCAGCTGAGCCTCACAAGAGGACCTCCCTGGCCAGAAGAGAGGCAGCATCTTATACAACTGACAAGTCAGGACATGTCTCAAGCTCTTTCCTAAAGTGAGGGAAACACTTGAGCCTTTGGCTGACTCCAGGTTATTTGAGAGCGTTGCCTGGGTTTATTACACAGCCAGGATTTGAGGGACTATTTCATTCATGATGTCCCCAAAGCTATACTTCAAATTAACTTTTGGATTTGTGCCTAGCCTTGCCACCAACTAGGAAGTCAAGCCTCAGATGTGTTTTTCCAAAGATTTGTTTGAATGCTTTTTTCCTGTGCTTTTCCTCACAAATTAACTTGTAAAAGGGAGAGGAAAGGACCATTAATCCCTTTCTTTTTCTCTTTACTGATTTAATCCCAGCACTGGATAAGGCCAGGTCTGAGAATATAGGACTTGAAGGTTCATTGAGAAATGCTATGGCAGGTGATACAGCCCCAGTGCCCAGTTTGATTGAATAGGGGAGTGGGGAGGAAGAGGTCCCCTCGCTCTGTCTGTCTGCGAGGCTGAAAGGAGAACTGATTATGTGTGTGAGGAAGAAATGAATATTGAATTCTACAGCCTTGTTCTCCTCAAAGTAGAGGATGTAATTATAATATGCACTGAACATTCCCAGTTATTTAGTATTCTGAATCTATAACTTCATAACAGGGACAAATTGTGTGGAGAAAAATTATTTTTTTGTTATGTCAGTAAGTCAGGCAAATGCTTTATGACCTTATCTTTTCTCAGGACTTATGTCAACAGTCAAGCCAACTTGTTAGTTGACTATGCAGAATAATATATTTAAGATGTTGTCTGCAGAATTTATTTTTGCCCAGTGTCAAAGTCTCATGTTTTCAAAAAGGTATTAATGAGGTTAAGATGGCATAGGTAAAACTGGGTCTTGTGGGAACATTGCTTTGTGCATCTATTATTCCTTCATTTTATAATGCTTTCTTGGCTGCTACAGTGTTTATAAAAAATAATGCTTTTGTAAACGGGTGTGGAGAACACTATGAAATAAAAAAATCTACATCTGTCTTGGCATGTGTCAAATGGCTCTAACTCTAGGCTTGTGCTTTACTAATCCTTGGAACACTCTGGGAGAGGCGGTATCCCCATTTCAGGGATAGGAGTAAGGGACAAAAATGGAGGGACCCATGTGGCTTGTCCCCTGAGAGATGTAGGAGTAATCCCTCTTTATCACGTTGCACACTTTGGGTTACCATCTGGAGTATCTTCTGTGGTTTGACATTAAGCAATGGAGTCTCCTGCTGTTTTTTTTTAAAAAATTCCCATAATTCTCAAACTTATTGTGAAGGGAGAGTCTGTTGCTTAATTTTTCGTCTCTTGAGTTAGATAATAAATTCACATGATCAGAGAGCTCAAAGGTACTGAAGAGATTAGCTAACGTAGCCCTCTCATTTTACAGATGAAAAGCTTTGATGATTGGCAGATTGTTCTTATAATTAATTTTTGTGGTCTCTGTCTGAAAGATGGTATGATTGCAAATGTTTTGGAGTCAATAGTTAGTATTTCTTAGTAGTAACAAAAATAAAATCTTATTTCAATGAAGTGAAATCTAGATGTTTAGAAGCTGTCTTGTTTTAATAAAATAAATGAGTTTACTTCAAGTTGTTTTTTAAAGTCTTAAATTTGACCTTATTTAAGATGTATAGATGATTCATCAGTTATTTTAAACAGTAGTTTGCTTTCTGTTGACAAAAATAAAAATATTTGATTGGTGAAAATTTAGAAAATAGAAAAGTATACAAGCAGAAAAATGTCACCAGTAATCTTAGTACTCTGAAAACCACTGTCAGTGTCCTTTCAGTTTTGAGGGGAGGGGTTGGGAGTGAAGGAAGATAGCTGGATAGATAGATAATACATACAGATATCTGTTTTAACATAACTATGCTGTGCTTTATGTATTGCCTTTTTACATAGCATTATATTGTAAATAGCTCCTTATTATCATCTTGGATAACATGATTTTCTATTATTAGACATTTATGTAGCTTCCAGTTTTCACTCAAATTTCAAATTTCACTATAAAGAACAATAGATAGATATTTTGACATTTAAGCCTTTTTCTGCATCATTGATCTTTTTTTTCAGATTACTTTTTAAAAGAGAAATTAGTAGATCAAGGCATCTAAAGGTTTGGGTTATAGATGCTGTGGCATCTATAGTCATTGAAACTCAAGTTTGAATTGTTTATGTCTAATGATAAACCCAGTGGAACTATCACAGATAGATAGTGCAGCTTGTTTTCATGTGTGACTACCATAGGTAGTGGCCTTGCATGGCTGAATTATTCCAGGTGCTCAGTCCCTAGGGGAAGGCTTTGTGTGCAATAACCCCACCCCACTGCAGCTTTTCCAACATTTGGATTTTAAGCTCTTCTCATATTCAGTATTAAAAATGTGAACCAATTTTTATTGCCATTTTTCATTTAGAATGTCTGTCTTTTTCTTATTCCTTATAAGTGTTTTCACATATTAGAGTTTGGATGTAATTTGCATCTAATTTACAAATTTGCTTTTGTAATTTAATGTTATTTGCAATTTTAAAAATCAGTTTGTCATTTGTTTTTTCATTGTTTATAATGTATTTTTAACAGATTTTAAATTTTTAATTCATAGAAATCTCTCAAATTTTTTTGTAAGTTCTTCCTTTTGCTTTTATGCTTAGGCCTTTCTAAGCATAAAGATCAATTGCTGTGTCTTTTATTAGCCCATAGTTTGTGAACCTGCCCATCTATCTATATGCTGTGTTATTTTTGAAGTTTCTTTTTATTTATTTGTTTTTTTCTTACTCGGGGTCTCACTCTGTCACCCAGGCTGGAGTGTAATGACATGATCATGGCTCACCACTGCCGCAAGCTCCTGGGCTCAGGTGATCCTTCATCCTCAGCCTCCCAAGTAGCTGGCACTACAGGCACACATCACCATACTTGTCTAAGTTTGTTGAGTTTTTTTAGTGATGAGGACTTGCTATGTTGCCTAAGGCTGGTCTTGAACTCCTAGGCTCAAGTGATCCTCCTGCTTCAGGCTCTCAAAGTGCTGGATTGCAAATGTGAGCCACCGTGCTCAGCCAAAATTTGAGGTTTCATATATAATTATAACAGAAGTAAAAAATGATGGGAAAGGACTTGACCTTTGCATCTGTGTTCATTCCTGCTACTCACAACACAAAAGTGTGACAAGGAGGGAAGGTCATGAACCCATGCAACGGGAAGAAGTATGAAGATGGATCATCTTTTTTCTTTTAAGATTTTTTTTTTTTTTTTTTTGAGCTGGAGTCTCACTCTGTCGCCCAGACTGGAGTGCAGTGGCCGCTCCTGGCCACCGCAGCCTCGACCTGCTGGGCTCCAGCAATCCTTCTACCTCAGCCTTCCAAGTAGCTGGAACTACAGGCACACACTACCACGCCCGGCTACTTTTAAGATTTTTAATTGACAGATAAAGGTTGAATATATGCAGGGTGTCCAACATGGTGATCTGATAATACACAGGGTATATACAGGGTGCAATGATTACTGTTATTAGTTACCACATCCATCACTGCCCATGCTGTGAATTAGCTCCCAGAATGGGTCATTTGATAAAGGAAAGTTTGTGCCCTTGGACCAACATTTCTCCATTTCCTCCACCCTCCGGGTTTTGGCAACCTCTGATCTGCTTTCAATTGAGTACCTGGGTACTCTTCAGGAGGCCACCTCATTTAACCTTTATAAGAACTCAGTGAGGGTGTATTATACCATTTCATTATTACAGATAAGGGAGCTGAGATAGAGGAAAATGAAGTCACTTGCCCAGGGTCTCCAAGGGCTGAGCTGGGGTCTGAAAATATGCATGTGGTCAAGTAAGTCTTGTCCAACTCAGTACTTACATGCATGTACTCCAGTTAGGTCTGTCTAGAGGAAGAAGATCATAAAAAAAGGTGAGGACTTGGTTCCCAAATAATTGGATGACTGTGACTATTATTGCCATGGTTGCAAAAATAGCTCAGGTTCTTCGTAATCCCATAATGTCATACTTGGCGTGCTTGCAAGCTGTAAGAATGAAGGGGTACTGACTTGCTTAGATAAGACAGGGCTCCTTTGTGCTTGAGAGAGATGCTGGTTTGTTATTCTGGGTGTGGGTTTGAGGAGAAGCAAGGAGCCATTTACTTTTGATGTTTCTCAATGACACCTACAGGTATAATCCCTAGATTATATTTAGGCGACTGAGCACCCAGAATATGTTTAATAGAAGTTCATATATGATTTGTGCTGAATCAAATGTCATCATGCATGAGATGTAATGAGGCAAAGAGGAACAGGTTCCAATATTTGAGAAAACGTAAAGAAAAGTGTATTCACGAAGCTAATCTTTTTGTTGTGTCTTATGAAAGGCCACCATGATCCTATTCTGCCATTGAGAGAAAAAGAGAAAGAGAGAGGGAGGAAGGGAGGGGGAGAGGGATAGAGAAGGAGAAGAGGGAGATACTGACAGACTGAGGGAGAGGGAGAGAAATGGGGAAAAGGAGGGAGAAGAGAGGAGGAGACAGAGAGAGAAATGGGGAGAGAGAGATGGCAAAACAAAGGCAAAAGGGAGGGAGGGGGAGACAGACAGAGAGACAAAGAGAGAGATGGAGAGAGCCTCTGATATATTTTATTTATTTATTTATTTATTTGTATTTTATTGTAGAGATGAGGTCTCGCCAACTTGCCAGGACTGGTCTCCAGCCTGTGGACTCAGGCAATCCACTTGCCTCGGCCTCCCAAAGTGCTGGGATTACAGGCTGAGCCATTTGCCACCTCTGATTTATTTATCTCTCTGCATTCACAGTTCTTGAGAGACAAGGGAGTAAGGAAGAGATCCCATAAAGTTAAGATGGCTCCTCTCACCCGCTTAGTAGATAGAAAAGGAGCACATCAGAGGGAGACAGAAAGGGGAGGAAGAGGAGAGAGATTGAGAGAGAGAGACAGAGACAGAAAGAGAGACAGAGACAGAGAGAGAGACTGCGGGAGAGAGAGAGAATGAATTCTCTCTAATCATGATGAAAAGTAAAGTCAAAGAAATGAAACAGGATCAGAGTAAGGGCTACTAAAAATAATATAACTATTATGAAGAGCACAGTAAATATATATATATTTTACATACTTTTTGGGCTTTATAGAATTTTTTATTTTATTTATTTATTTATTTATTTTTATTTTTTGAGTTGGAGTCTCATTCTGTCCCCCAGACTGGAGTGCGGTGGACGCTCCTGGCCACCGCAGCCTCGACCTGCTGG